CTCTGCCTCCCGAGTGCTGGGATTAAAGGCGTGCGCCACCACCGCCCGGCAAAAGCTGGAATTAAAAACAATTAAGGCCTTTATACTTTGTGGTAATTTTTTTTATCAGTCTTTGTACATATATCCTATTGCTTGATGTAGTCACATATGTATTAGGTATGACACTTGTCAGACCATTTTGGAAACAAACCTATAGAAATGGCTGAGAATGTGAACACTTTCCCATTCCCAAGAGAAGTCTATCCAGGACACATATTTCATTTAGTATGAATGAATTCTGTGTAATAGGCACCTATTCTGTCTTTTAGTGTAGGCTTCTATGATCTTTTCTTTTTTAATTAATTTTCTTATCAGTGCATAAGGAGGGGTTCCTTTATCCCTGCTTCCATCCTTCCTAGCATTTGTTGTCATTTGTTTTCTTTTTAATAATGATTTATTTATTCATCTATTTTATTAACTGAGTTTGTCACACATACATGAGTATGCATGCTTATTTGTGTAGGAGCATGTGCTTGTGAATGCAGTTGCCCATGGAGAGCAGAAGAGATTATCAGAGTCCCCTGGAGCTGGGGTTACAGGCACCCATGAGCTGCCTTGGGTGCTTGGAACCAAACTCGATCTTCTGCAAGAGTAGCACTTGCTCTCTGGACTGCTGAGACATTTCTTCAACCCCAGTCATTTTTTTCTCAGTGATAGCTAATTTTGTCGCATTTTGTTTTGTTTTGTTTTGTTTTACTTGTTTGCGCCAGGGCCTCCCTTCATAGTCCAGGCTTACAACCCTCTCGTGTCTGTCTGCCAAGTGCTGACATTCCAGGCCAGGTGCCATCATGCTTGACTATGATTTTGTGCTGTGACAGTAGCATGTTGCATCTTAATCAGAATAGTATATGCGTGATTATTTTTGTCTTAAACATTTCAGCATATCAAGACTCAAATAATTCTAATGTCACTAGCAATTGCATAGACCCAAGCATAGGAATTTGAAAGCATATTTGTTGAGCATACTTTCATTTTGAGCAAAGTTTGCCTGGAAAATATTTCTTTTAGTTTAGAAAATAAAGCTCCCCACTCCTGTATTATATTTCCTTTACTTTGAGTAGTTCGATGAACTGTAGAGAAAGAATAAGCAGAATGTTCTCTATATCATAAATGTCTACTTGTTATTTTAATTACATGTTTAAATATACTTATTTAATTAACATTTATAAGAAGCCTAGCAAATAAGCTGTTGGTTAATATTTTCTATAGAAGAGTTGGTAGATTTTTTTAGAGAAATTCTATTGACTAGTTTACATTTGCATTATGCTTAAATAGAATTATTTAATATACATTTATCAGAAGCTTAGAGAATAAGCTATTGGTTAATCTTTTCTATGAGAGAGATGGAAGTTTTTAATGACATTCTAGGGATGAACAATATTATTATTTGTAATATAATCTTTCTAGATGAGAATTATTTGTATAATAAAGTTTTGAGGTCGTCTGAGGAGCATAGTAATGTTACTATTGACAATAACTCTCTCTCTCTCTCTCTCTCTCTGTGTGTGTGTGTGTGTGTGTGTGTGTGTGTGTTAGATGGTTTTGAGTCTACTGTGCTGCATGAGTTAATGTCTCTAACTTCAATAATGTTGTCAAGTCTAGTGGTAGAGACACGTAAGTTATAGAAACTGTTTGGGAAGGGCAAGAACTTCTTTAAGAGCAGATAGAGGGGGGTCAGGGAGCATTACATCCTTCTGCTGAGCAGTCTTGGTATTCTGTGTGCTTCCCTTAATTTCAGAGTTCACCACAGTGGTGGAATCATTCCAAGCAGAGGGGATGAGTAATGCAAGAGTGTAAGGAGAGAAGGGTAGAGGACAAACTGAGACAACGCTTTGATTAACTGGCCATGATAAGGAGCCTGCCCTTTGTTTTGTACCAGAACCAGAGAAGACAGCTAGTGAAATTATATAAAACCCACAGAAATTTATTTAGTGCAATACATCCAGAAAAAGTTTAGTATGGGGGATTCAGTACAAAGAGCTGCCAAGGTTTCTGACTTTAGCAAGTGAATCACTAACAGAGTGGAGTTGAGGTGGGGTGGGATAATAAGCTTTGAGAGAGAGTAAATGCGGTGAATACAGTATCTGTGTCTCTCTTTATATTTAACCAAAGTTCTGTGTGAATGCATCTGGCAAGTATTTGTATTAATCTTAGGTATCTTGTGGGTTAACCTCCCCACTGCTCACAGACAGTGAAATGCATTCCCTTGCTTTTATTGGGAAACATCTGTCTTGTCTTGCTGCCCTTTCACTGTTGACTTGTTCTGCAGGCTTTCGTGTCCCTTGAATAATGTCACGCTCTTGGTGGATAGTTTCATAATGAAAACACACACATAGGGCTGTTTGTCATAAAGATAATACCATTCTCTTCCAGAGAGCATAATCACACAGAAGTGGGCCTGGCTGAAAATGAGACAAGTATGTCTTGTCAGTTGCAACTCTGATGGGATTTCAGTACTTTCTAACTGATTTAAAGTATAAGGGTCAAGAGCAAACTGCATATCCTTGAGGAAGACACAGACAGCATTGGAGCAGACATGGCATGCAGGACAGTGTTGGGAAGAGCCAACACGTAGGTGACTACTAACATGTATTTTTGACTGGCACAACGATCTGTCAGATTAGCTGTTAGTATAATAATCTTGACTTCTATTTCACATATAGTCTTAAAATCAAAATGTTTATAGGTCTGTGAGCGCAAATGTTGACATCTTAGTTTGCTTTTTATTGATGTGATGAAGACTATGACCAAAACAGCTTGGGAAAGAAAAGGTTTATGTGGCTTACACTTCCAAGTCACAGTCTATCATTAAGAATAGTCAGGACAGGAACTCAAAACAGGAACCTGGAGGCAGGAACTGAAACAGAAGCATAGAGGAGTGAGGAATGGTGCTACTGAGTCTCCAGGCTTGCATTCTGCTACGTTTTCATACCTCCTAGGACCAATGCCCACAGTGAGCTGGGTCCTCCCATATCAACCATTAATCAAGAAAATGCCCCCACAGACTTACTTGCCTGCAGGGTAGTTTGATGGAGGCATTTTCTAAGTCAAGGTCTCCTCTTTCCCAGATGACCCTAATTTGTATAGATTTGACAGAAAACTAACCAATACAGTTGATAAGGTTAGGGACTAGATTTTTCGATGTTTTAAAGTTTCCTGTCTTAGAAGAACTATAAAAGTCAGGAAGAGCCTTGGAGCATCTTTATAGCATCTCTTGTTTGTGTTACTCCATGTCAGTGTAGACCTAATGGCCACTCCATACCCACAGAAATAACCTTCTATTTGTATGTTCATATTTTCAGCTTCCTTTCTTCCTGTTGTTTCAAACACTAACAGTAAGTAAGAATTTTAGAGGCCATTCATTCATGATTAACATTAAGCATGCTCTCCAAGTCACTTTGTATTAACCCTAGCTTTTTATGTCAATTATGTGTGTGTGTGTGTGTGTGTGTGTGTGTGTGTGTGTGTGTGTGTGTGTGTTTTAATGTCTCTAAAAAAATCCTTGAATAAGGTCCAAATATTTTGTGTTGTCATTTAAAGGTCTCCGAGGTCTGGCTGTAAATTTCATTATCAGCTCCCTTTCTTTCTTCACAGCCATTGTGTTCTTTGTTCACAACATCAGGGAGGCTGATTGGGAGGTGTTAAAGCAGCAGCAAGACTCTGAGGTGAATAAATGACTGAGTTCTCATTTATCATTCATCCCATTCTTTTTTACAGAAGAAACATGCAGTCGGAATTACTCTTTTGCAGTGCTTATTTTCTTCTTAAAATTATTCTTGGTAATGAGAAGTTCTGGGTGGGCTTAATATCATATTTATTTTTAAGCCATTTTAATGTATTAGATTATGAATACTTTCATCAAAAAAAAACCCTGATGTTTCTTTTGACTCACAGTTTCTGAGGTTTTAATTCATGAACGTTTGGTCCTATCTCTCTGGACCTGTGGTAGCATAGTTTGCCATGGCAAAAGCATGTGGTGGATGAAGGATGTTCACCTCCTCACAGCCAGGAAGCCAAGGCAGACACAAGAAGGGGCTCCAGTTAAAATATCTCCTTCTATGATGGCTAGTTTTATGCCAATGTGACACAGCTATATAGTCTTCTGAGAGGAGGAAACTGCAATTGAGAAAATGCTTCCATAAGACTTGGCAGGTCTGTAGGGCATTTTCTTAATTAGTGATTGATGGGGGGTATCCCATTGTGGGTGGGCTTCCCCTGGGCTAGTGGTCCTAGCTCTATAAGAAAGCAGGCTGAACAAGCCAGGAGGAGCAAGCCAGTAAGCAGGGCTCCTCCACAGCCAGTGCATCAGCTCCTGCCTCCAGGTTACAACCTAGTTTGAGTTCCTGCCCTGACTTCCCTCGATGGACTGTGACTCAGGATATGTTAGCCAATTAAACTCTTCTCCCCAAGTTGCTTTTGGTCATAGTGCTTCATTACAGCCATAGTCACCCTGACTAGGACACCTTCAAAGGCATATCCCCCAAGTCCTAATTTGTGTCCACTAGATCCACCTCTTAAAGGTTTTACCATCTTCAAACAACACCTTGGGTTGGAGACTCAACCCCCAATACATGAATATGAATTGAAGAGGGGGACATTCAATATCCAAACTGTAGTACCTGGATTCTGGACTCACAGTATGTACTTAGTAACCAACTGGTCCTTAGATTCATTAACTAATAAAGCTATAAAAAGACCTTGGAAGAGTGCTATGGTCTGAACAGTTGTCCCTTAAGAGCTCATGCTAAAACTTTAATTGCCATCATAATATTGAGAAGAGAGACCTCCAAAAGGTGATTAGGCTTCGAGGCCTCTACCCTCAAGGATGGAGTTGGTACTAAGCTCAGCCTCGTCTTGTGCTCTCCGACCCTCAGGTCTTCTTCGGTGTATTGATGTAACAAGAAGGCTCTCACCAAGTGACCTTGGACTCCGCAGTCTCCAGGCTGTGAGAAACGGTTTTCTGTTCATTATAATTTGCCCAGTTCCAGCTCCTATGCTATGGTAGCCCTGAAGCAGACTAAGACAAAGAGATCAGTGGGAGGAGTTCAAAATCTATAGAACGGGTTCTCTCCCATCACATATGATTCTCTCAAAAAGTAGTAAAAATCAATTTACAGCCAATTTTGGTATCACCATCCCAGTGATTAACAACTTTGACCATTGAAACTGTGCCCAAACTAATCTAATCATTTTAATTATCTCTGGATATTCAAAACTATCTTGCAAGGCCCATATCTGTTTTGGGAAATGATCATGCTTGGGATTGGAGAGATGGTTCAGTGGTTAAGGGCACTGACTGCTCTTTCAGAAGATCCGGGTTCCATTCTCAGCACCTACATGGTAGCTGACAGCCATCTGGAACTCCAGTTCCAGGGAATCAGATCACTTCTTCTGGCTTCCCTGGGCACCAAGCATTTACATGGTACATAGACACACAAGCAGGCACGAACCCCACACACTTTTTTTTTTTTTTTTTTTTTTTTTGGTTTTTTGAGACAGGGTTTCTCTGTGTAGCTTTGCGCCTTTCCTGGAACTCGCTTTGGAGACCAGGCTGGCTTTGAACTCACCGAGACCCACCTGCCTCTGCCTCCCGAGTGCTGGGATTAAAGGCGTTTGCCACCCCCGCCCGGCCCCCCCCCCCCCCACATTTTAATGAGCATGGTAAAGCTTTTTAAAAAATCTTTCATTTATTAAGAAACTGGACTGGGATTTAAATGCTGTTGTGATTGATCCCAAAGATATACCTATGAGGCTATCTGTCTAAATTCTTTATATTGAGAAATATTTTTAACTCTATGTTTTGTGTGACATTAAATGCCAATGCAATCTTCACAATACACCCGAACAACACCAAGAAGTCTTTCTGCCCTTCCTAGGGATGTGATGGTTTCATTTTTTTTTAAAGCAAAACAGTGCCCGTGGCAAACTTTTATGTCTTAGAATTAAAGTTGACCCTGATCAACATTGTCTATAGAAACTGGACTTATAAGGAGAGAAAGTGTGTTACAATCCAGAATCTAACAGGGAAAGTGAATCGGAGAGTTGCTAAGGGTGCTGCTTGACTTCAGCATAAAGACGGGTATATTCGGAGGAATAGGAGGTTCTGGCATTGCCTGCTTTGTGCTTCCTCATTAACCCGGTTTTCCCTGCCTCCTCTATCTCCAGTCATCCCTGGGATGTGCTAATTGTAATGTGTCTGGGATCAATGAGAGGTAAACCACACAGGTACAAAACAAATTAACTGTAAAAGCACCAATTATATTTCATAACATCCCCAGACTTGGTCGTCCTGCTTTTCTTTTTAAAAGGAAATATGGTAAAGCTAATGAACTTTTTGTTGTATAACTACGAAGTTGGCGTTCACTACTGTTTAGATGAGATGCTGCCACTTTTCCTTTCTGTCTCCCCAATTAACAGGTCAGTTAGGGGTGTATGTCTCAGGTCTTTCTTGTCTGTCTCCTTTTGTGCCTGTCCTCAGTCTGTGAGATTTTCTGCTCCCCCATTTCACCTCTTCTTTCAGCATCTCACAGTAGTAATAGCAAATGAATGGAAATTGCTCACGGTTTGGTGGTAATTGATATGTTCAAATTCCTTACTATTTTCGTCTAATTTAATGACTTGTGGAAGGTAGACTGATGATATTTTCATTTCTGCTTTTCAGATGAGGAGTTGGGTCTTCTTTTATAATGTAAGGAAAATAGCATCTCAGTTCTACAATCACAGCTATGAAAAGACAGCATTAAGTTGGGAGCCAGCCTACAGGTAGGGCATCAGGAATACAAATCCCAGCTATGACACTCTGTGACTGCATATTATTGAGCAAATGATTTATCTACACTTCAATTTCTTATTCTAAAGAGGTAAGTGGTGATATTTACACCTCTCTCAATGGGGTGTTAGTAACTATTTAATCTCCAGGTGGTCATTACTACAATTACTTATTATTATTCTCATATTTATTCATTCATTCATTCAGCAAATAGAATTGAGTGTCCACTATGTTCTAGACATTTTCAGTAAGCTAGCCACAAGCATGGGGTATACATAACTAAATATCCATGGTCAGTCAAATACCTGAGTGTACCATGAGAACCTGAGGGCACTCAAATGTCAGTCAGTCAAGACTTTGATGAGGAGCTAACTGGGAATCTGTGGGAAGGCAGGAGGAGGAAGAAAGCCTGCATTAGAAACCAAACAAGGAAGTGTTTCAAGACGGTGATGGTGCCCAACTGCTCAAGTGCCCCTGAGAGTGAGAGTCAATGAGATCTTTGCAAATGAGATTTATCTTGGCATAGTGGACATCAAGTCTTTGAAAAGAGCATTTCTTGTGAAAGATGAGAAGACAGAAAGCAACTGCTTAGAACACAGAAAATTTCAGGATAAATTTCCCCTGTAATGCACCTGATCTAAAAAATAAAGGAATAACCATCTCTTGGTAATGGGGCTGACTGGTACCCACACTACTGCAATATACCTATTCACCTTCAACCCCCATATTAGAATACATGGAAACATGTACTTTGAACTAGCCTGCTCATTGCTGGTTGTCGTCAGTACTTACGGCCCAACCAGCATTTGTCATTGTAGCCTACTGACGTAGTACCTAGCATTTTGTGATGACTGAAAAGCGGCTATTGATGTTCTGACAGTTTGGTCAGTGTTTTAAGAGAGCCCCTCCATTTTCAGGGAGTAAGATGTCACCATTTTCAGACTTGCTTTAACACAATACATTTTTTTTTTCATGCAGAGCAAGACATGGACATCTTACCTTTTTTTTTTTTTTTGGTTTTTCGAGACAGGGTTTCTCTGTGTAGCTTTGCGCCTTTTCCTGGAACTCACTTGGTAGCCCAGGCTGGCCTCGAACTCACAGAGATCCGCCTGCCTCTGCCTCCTGAGTGCTGGGATTAAAGGCGTGCGCCACCACCGCCCGGCGACATCTTACCTTTTAAAACTGGCTTAATTTATTTCTTACACTTGATCTTAGGCAAAAGGCCGAGAAGCGATTATTTTATTTCTTGAAAGTAATCAGGACTCAAGGAAAGTTCAGATCACTTGCTGATGTGAGATTTTTGTTCTCCAACATTAAAGTGTGCGATCAGTTCTGGAATTTAATTCCTTGTTTGGGGAGAAGGATGAGAGGTCAGAAGTGATGGTTATGTGAGTTTTGCTTTGAAGTTTAAAGTCAAGGGGGCTGGGTTGTCTTTGAAGGAGACTCATTCTCACATTTGGCTCAAGGACACAAGGAAAGCACATGCTATAGAATTTGTAAATGATACCTCAGCCTGGACAAGTTCATCAGACTTATAAGCTAAAGAAAACACACTCTAAAATGATTTTTAACACTAAAGGGTCTAAAAACTATTTATTTTTAGTTTGTGTGAGGGAGTTACATGCCACAATGCACATGTAGATGCCAGAGGCCAACTCGTGGGAGTCAATTCTCTTCTGCCATGGACTGAACTCAGGTTTCCAGTTTTGGCAATAGGTTCCTTTACCCACTGATACATTCTGCTAGCCCCTTAACACTTCTAAAGAAGATTTCAAAAATTACTTCAAACAAAAATGACTTATAAAAACATACTAAAGTCCATGATGACAACATATAAACATCTGATATTTTTCTGTAGTGTTTTCTTGCTTCAACTTCTTTCTTCTTTATAAGCATGATAAAGTCTATTATCTTAATTTTAGGAAAATAATTCAATGAAGATTTATAAAACTAGGGTTTTTCAATATTTAAATAAATGTGTTTTGTAAGTAAATGAAACAGGACATTGTTTTTCAATAAAATCTTTATGTACAAATATACAAATTACTTTACTGCTTACAAACACAAATCTATTCATTTGAAAAGAAAAGTGTGCTATCTGTTCATTATTTTGATTTATAAAGACATAGCTTTCAAAATGAGTACTTGCAAGATTTTTCTGTGGAAAGGTCATTATATGAGAATAGTTTTTGTAGTGTTCTGAGTTGTGTTCATCTGCTTTTCATTCAGGATGAGTTACCTGTCTCAAGTGGATGGACCATGAGCAGCTTAGGTCATCACTTCATAGTTTGAGACAGATAATGTTCAGTATTCAATTTGTACAACATTTACACAGAGCCTTTATTTGGAGAGCCTACAAGCACTTGCCTGTCACCAAGTATATTTGCCATGTGTCCACAGGGTGAGAGCTATGAAGCTATTCTTTCAAGTCCAAGCTATTCACCAAACAGAAATTACAGCCATCACGTTTAAAGGCATGTGAGTATACAGTAAAGGGAACAGGGCCTCCAGTTCACATATCCTGCCATTCTTCATGTAGACAGCCCTGGAGGATAGTCATTTTTAAAATATAGGTAGCTCAATAGAGGATATGAGGAACAGATCATTTGCCTCTTGCTGCTCACATTTGCTAAGACTCTTATGAAGATTTTCCCTGGGCACATGAATCAGTTTAATAATGATTGCTGCCAGTTGGTGGCTAGACATCAGCATGCCAGCCTACTCAACAGCGTTGCCATCTGCTATTTAGACTCACAGTGTGTTGCTGCCATGCACCACCTCATTAAGAACGGGACCCTTGTGAGCCATAGACAGTAGCTTATTCAAGTGAGCTGAAGCAAAAGCCTCCCCAAGCCAAATCTGTAGAGGCTGCATGCATCTCCTCCTCCTTGGAAATTGCTCTATGCTGATCATGCAGTCTGATGGCTCATTGTCACTGATTATCTAGGGGTCCGTTTTTCAATCTATCCTCTCAAGGTAGCACTGAAATACAAATATGGTTATGCAAAATGTTTATGCCAAGCTTTTTTTTTTTTGGTGATAGAGTCAAATCCAAAAATTGATACCAGCCACCATATTACTAAACACAAACATATCAACAAGTCTATTGTGATCCACTCTTCTTTTTTAGATATTTCAAATTTGTCATTTTCTTTTGAATTTTTTTTTGGGAATTCTGTGGTGTGGCTTTTATTTCTTGGAAACAGATTTTCAAAGGCTTTCATAGTACTTTCCCCTTTCCTTACTAAATACATCCAAAGGCAGCTGTGAATACAAAATATTTATAATTGTCTGACAAAAATGAGTGTACTTTCTCAATTCTCACATCTGTACTTAGCAGCAGCCAGATGTGCTTCTTAAACTTGGTGCCTGTTAGATCCTCTTTGTTTTCTTTCCTGGGCAAATTGAATCTGAAAGTGTGTTTGTTGGGGGCAGGTCTGAGCCTCTGTGTTCTGCAGGATTCAGCTCTCGAGACTCTCAAACACAGTGGACACCGTGGCTGTTTATTAAGAAGGATGCTTTGGACGAGCATTTGTAGAGAAGAGAAAGGCAGAGCAAGCTGGGCTGCCATACAGGCTCAACAACAGCCTCTGCCAGCACCGCAGAGAACTCTGGAGATGAGCCAGGGAACAACTTTGCATCCCTGCAGTGATCAGTCACTGATGTGTGTCATCCTGTGAAGGAGTGTGACATTAGATGAAGTGCTTATGAGGCAAGTCCAGAAGAGACCTGATGGCAGAGGAGACCCGACAGCTGTAGGCTGCTTGTTAACAGTCCACACAGCAAATGGGAGCGAGTCCTTCTCTGAAGGGAGACCAGGGCCACACATGGCTATGCTTCTGCACACACCACATCCTCTCCTTTGGAAAGGCGCCCCAATTATCTGCACAAGAATGACTCCGAGAGCCACGCACTAAAGAAGGCTTCCAACCTTGTTCCTCTGCTAGCATCGGTTCTTTGGCTATGAACTAGTGGCGTACATAACATAATCCCGTAAGTATCACCCTAACTGTACAGGGCCTGGCAGGATGTGTAAAACAAACAAACAAAAACAAGACAAAGCAAAATATAACTGCACGCGGGTGGTTTGCTCTGGGCTCATTTGTCCTTCGACAGCAGGCTATTTTTGTCCTGCCCGAAACTCTGCTGTCCTTAATTAACTAAGTAACACACTCAGGTGTGTGGAAGTCTGGTTTTATTTTTTTTTTCCAAACTTGAACACAATTCTTACATTCTCTCTATGGTATGCATATGAAAACACACGCGTGTGTGCGTGCATATGTGCGCACACAAACACCACATACCCTTTATTTTCGAGACGAATACAGGAATTTCATTTTAAAATAGTTAACACAGCATTTTCTCTCAGTTTGTTGGAGATAGTATAACAGAACACCCACTATATATTGGGTAGATTATAAATAACAGAAAGGTCTCATACTTCTGGAGGCTAGAAAATTCAAGATCAAGGTGCTGGCAGAGTCTGAGGTGAGAACTCACTTAATTGCTCATGGCAGCTGTCTGTTGTCACTTGGCTGAAAGGGGAATGAGCTCCCCTGAGCTTCATCTGTAAGGGAATATATTCTGTTCACTTCCTGAAGTCCTAACCTCCTAATACCACCACCTTTGGAAGTAGGCTCTCAACATATGAATTTCCTGGGGGCATTCTAAGTCCATAGCACTGCCTCTCCACTCAGAGTTGTACCCAAGCTCTAGAGGGTTCGGTGATATCATAGCATTTGATTCTGCATTGATGTCTATCTGTGTCTGGCTTCAAGCAAGATGAATACTGTCCTTTCTGATAATCACTGACATGCATCCTGATGTTGGTATCTGATGAAATCTAAAGCATTTTCAGAGTTCACACTGTATTTCTGCAGAGTCCTTCGGGTCTGTGGGCTGTTAGGACTATTTTTCTAATGTTCCTAATTGCACCAGAAAGAGATTTTCTTGGCCACCTGACACCGTAGTGACTGTATGGCAGTGTGGGATCCCTATACTCAGGCACATGCAAATTCAATAATATTGTACCCAGACGAACTCTATGCAACATCATATCTCAGGGTAACAAGACAGGGCATCAGGAACTACTAGTCTTTCCACTTTTAAATCATGTGCATTCTTTCTGGGGGTTTTCCAGACTGTGATTTGGAATGTGGAATTCTTTAGAAACTTTATCAGCAATAAACTCTACTGCTTGGAGATTACTCACTGATGATATATTTTTTTCAATCTCCTTCTTTGAGTGAGTTTCGAGGATGGAGGGTATGACATGGAGGGCTAGGCATTCCTCCAGTCTTAAGTTTGAAACCATGACTTTGGTCCTTGCAAAAGCAAAAGCCTCTAGGTTTCCATTTGCATGTTTCTTTGGGTGGGTCTTCTATGGTTTCATTCCTCTTCAACATCAAACTTACATTCTGGTTTAAGAGTAGAAATATGCCTGGGTGTGGGATGTGTACAGAGGTGAGAAATGAAGCATTTGTCTTCAGAGGAAATTTTATCCAGTGTTCCATTTCTGTATTTATTTCATTAGTCTAGTGGTCACTGTTGTACAAACAGTGAAGTACCCCAATGTCTGTATCTTAGTTGGGTTTTGATGGCCCTGAAGATATTCTTCATAACTATTTTGGCTGTCATGAATCGACTCACTTTCTAAATACATTTCAGGCAGTTTGTCAATTTCATCAAAATAAAAGGATCTCCTGAGAGTTTCATGGGGATCACACCGACAATAAATATTGAGTACATTCAACGTATTGATCTTTAAACCATCTAGTCTTCCATGACTCAACAGTGTATACCCCCACTCATTTGAGTGCATTAAGTAATTAAGTGTATTAAGTAATGCTTTTGTGTTTCTAGTGCAGAAAAGTTGTAAATCTTACAACTGGTTTATTCTTAGCTATTTGAAACTTGTTATTCTTAATAAATTTAAATATTTTAATTTGTTCAGTTGATCCAATGCAAGGGCATACAATTTTTGATATTTTGACATTAAGTTCAGTCATTCTCATAGCCTGTAGAACAGTTGGCTTTTCTACATGTACAGTGATGCGTGGTCGTGCCACATCTGCATGACAAGGACCATCCACAATTGTGGGAAAGATCCATGTTCTATTACTAAGTAGTTTGCTAACTGTAGGTTTCCTTAATAGATTGCTATCAACTTTCCTTCTGTTCCTAGTTTTCAGTTTGTATTGTTAATGCACGTTGATCTGTTTGCTTTGTAGCTACTGACACATGGTTTGTCTTCTTCCGTTACATGACGAATTGCATTAATTAATTTTCAAATGTTAAACCATTTCATGATGTACTGGTCTCTTTTTATATTGCAACTTCCATTTGACAATATTTGTTTAGTATCTGAGCATCGATGTTTGTGAGACTTAGTGGCTCCCCAACAGAAGCCTGGGTAGCTAAGTTCCATTACTTTCTCTTTGGAGGCATCTTGGGGGTTGTTTCTAGGAAAAAAAAAGATGAAGAGTGGGGTGAATCTCCTCGTTAACATAGTGGTGACAGACTTCACGTAAACAATGGGAATTCCTAGGAGGTGGCTATCCAGTTTAGGATTATGATAAAGTCTGCAACTATGAATTAGGAAGGATAGTGCCTATACAATTGTTGTATGAATGTTACAGTTATCCAAGTATATGGAGATATGTAGCCTAATAGGCTCTATGTCATGAAAGGTGATGAGATTTTTATCTTTACAGTGTAGCGCAATGGCTAATCCAAAGCAAGAAAGGTGGACCTTGAAATCCAGAAAGCGCTCAAGACTTGTCTTTGTTTGTACACAACTGATTGTAAATTTAAAATTAATAGGTTAACAAATTTATAATGAATAACATCTTATTTCTATGAGTTTTTCAGGTTGATTCTGGAATCTTATCTCTGAAATTGGGTCTATAATCCCCCCCCTCTTTTTTTTTTTTTTTTTTTTTTGATGATCTTTTGTCAGGTTTGGCTTCAAAAGTTCTGTTTATCTACAAGTGGGAAATATCTGTTTCCTCTATTAAGTTTTCCTATTCAGCTGACAAACCCTGCAAGTGTGGTACTATTTTCCTGCTAAATATTTAGATAAGTTTAACAATGAAATTGCATTGGCCCAAATAGTGCTTTGAGGAAAGCTGTGTATCTCCTCAATCTGTATATTGCGAACCAAAGGCCAGGTCTCAAAAGGTGAATGGTAAGGTGTGCACCTGCACCCATGGAATGTCTGTCTTCTTTCCCGACTGCTAAGAAGATGACTAGTTAAATTCTGCACAAAGTCAGTAGAGCTATGCTGGGTCTGACAAGGCAGGAAAAATACTCTGTCATGGAAGCTATGTAACACACCTGCAAAACCAGGTGAATATTCCTGGGAAGAAATTTTATCAATGCTTTTCTGAGGTGCTAGAATATAAGGGTAAAAATATAAGAATGTGTTTATTTAAGGGTATTTCAGGTACAAAGTGTTTATCATCTGGTGTGGTCTGTCTACCAAAACTCATGTGTGAAAAAACTTAATTGCCAACGTGATCATATTAACAGATGGTTATTCATGACTTCTAAGAAGGGCTACAGGGGAGCTATCTGGATCTCTCTTAGCCTTCCACTCTACCACATGGAGATAATGCATGATACCTCTGAAAGATGTGAGTTAGAAAGAAGCACATCCCTCATTAGACTTCAGACTTGCTGACATTTTTAATTTTGTATTCCCATCCTTAAGACCAGTGAGAAATAAATTTAGCCAGCCTCAAGATATTTTGTTACAGATGGAAAAGCGGACTAAGATATTACCTCAGGAGGAACACCAGGGAATGAAACAAATTCGCTGATGGAGTGGCTCTTAAAAGCCTGAAAAGAGAAAGGGCCCCTTCTGAGCTAAAGTCATCGTGTCCACATTGCTCTGGTAAATAGGGAAGATATAAAGAAACCGAGAGTAGAAAACCCAGGTGGCTTGCGCTGAGGCAAGGAGCAGAGGACACACGATTCACCAAAGCCACCAAGAACACTCCTCTGCCAGGGTACTAGCATCATGGAGATCAGTGGTGGTGCCTGTATTTAGACAGGGCAGAAGACGAGGCGGTCATGGAGCTAGGCTTGTTAATATCATTCAGGGTAATGGACCCTGAAGTCATAAAGGGCCCTGCAGGACTGGTGCTTAGCTACCAAAAGCCAAGAGGCCATAATTACTGTAACAACTGGTAAAATTGGAGGGGTGGTTAAGTGGGCTTGACTCACAGGGTTTTAGGGAGATGATTAATGGAAGGTAACACCCTTACAGGAAGGTATCAGACCTTACAGACGGATGAGCAAGTAGCAAGGATGCCCCTTAACTTCTATAACTAACTATGGCAAGAATGGAAAGACAAGATGTTGATGGTACACTGTGCCCGGTGAATCTTTACAATCTCTTGCTCCAGTTTCCAGACATGAAGAAAACGGTGAGGGCTGCCAAGGTGGGAAAAGTGACCCGGCCGTAACAAATAAAGACCGACCCTGTTATATATGTGCACATCGTGCATTAAGTTCTTATCCAAATGGACTTCTGGCCATTGATTAGGGTGACCATTCCAATTAGCCTAGGGTCTAAGTTGACTTTGGCACCTTTGTGGCTGTCTGGTCAAGGCATCATCAAGGAGCGGATGTGTGGAAGAAGGGATAAACTGTCTTGGGGTGAAACTGCACCACTTGGACCTCCTCCTTGAAGAGCGTTTAGTGGTCCTCGCTGCAGCTCTGAAGCCAGTTGTTTTCCTGCCAAGTCTACATTTCCCACAGGCTCATTCCATGAAAATGGTAACCAAGTAAGGCAGGTGTACTAACACAGGCTTATTCTTGTGAAGTAGAGGATGTCTCCACTGGGAAACTTTGGCTCATCAGCCAACCTTAAACTTGATTGGAATTGTGCTGTAGCACAACCATCTTGATAGTCTGTCTTTCTGTATCAGGGTTTCCCATAGAAACGGAACCAAAAGGATCCATCCATCCATCCACCCAGATATTTATGATAAACAATTGATTTATACCACCATACAGGCAAAGTCCCATGATCTGCTGCTACCTGGAGGCCAGAGACCCAAGTGCACTGATTGTGTCAGACCCAGCCCAGGTCTAAAGATGGATGCCTCACTTCAGTAGTCAGGTGGAGAAAGAACTCAACTTCCCATCTGTTTTGGCTTCATTCAAGCCTTCTATGTGTCAGACCCAGCCCAGGTCTAAAGATGGATGCCTCACTTCAGTAGTCAGGTGGAGAAAGAACTCAACTTCCCATCTGTTTGGGCTTCATTCAAGTACTCTATAGATTAGATGCCCAGCCATACTGAGGACCATAATATATTTGACTCACTTGTCAGCAAAAATGTTAATCTCTTCCAGAAACACCCTACGGACACACCCAGAAACGATGCTTCACCAAGCCTAGTCCAGTTGATAGGTATACCCAGTCATGCAAAGGGTGAGGTAGGTTGTAAGACCCAAACACTCCACCTCCACTGGCTTCCTCTCCTTTTCAGCTCTCACAGGCATTTCCCCAAATGAGAGCCTTGTAAATATAATCAAGTCTTTGTAAGTGCTTGTTGGGAGGGCTGGACTAACAAACTTGTACTTTGTTCTGGGAGGAATTTATATTGGATCGGTAGGATACTATTCAAGCTTGTTCTTAAGTTCCTTTTTGGGTGGAGTAGTTTTAATCTGGCCAGTTGAGCCCCACTGGTGTTGTGCATAATTTTTCAGGGAGCCTGTTCTCAGAGAGGACTGTCAGCTGTGGCTGGCTGGAAATGAACTGGTCCTAATCTCCGGCCAGCCTTGAGAAGTGGGAAGCTGAGTGCTGAACAAAAGGTCCACAACGATCTCTTTGTAGATTTCTGGAAGCTTCTGTCTGCCTATCTTCCCACCTCTTTGGTACTTTGTCATGAAAATTCATGCCACCCATTCAACTTCAGTATTTGTCTCAACTCAGCAAATTTGTGGGCGCAAACACCCAGAAAGCTACATACCAAAAAGCTAGAGCCTGAAGAGATGGCTGAGAGGTAAGGGTTCTTGTTGCTCTTGTAGAGGATTGAGGTTTGGTTCATAGCACCCACATGGGGTAGTTCATAACCACCTGTTAACTCCAGTTCCAGGGGATCTAACACCCCCCTTTGGATTCTGCGAGCACTCCATCCCAAGTTCACCTCTGGCTTTTTAAAACATTAACGATCTTTTCACAATATTTCTGCATAAACACATTTAGAGCTATATTTCCATTGAGCTTTTTTTTTTTTTTTTTTTTTTAAGGCTGGGTATCATGTAGCCTAGATCAGCTTCTCTTGAATTCTTAATGTACACAAAGATGACCTTGAACTCCTGCCTCTGCTTCCCAAGTACTGGGATTACAAACATGTATCCCTATATTCAGGTCCCCTAAGCATTCAATTCCACACCAACTCATGGTATTTTGAAATCACAATTCATTTAAAAATATATTCTAATTTCTAATGTAATTTACTGACTCATTAGTCATTGGGGTTTTTGATCCATAAATCATAAACATTTGGAAGCCTTCAGCATCTTTATACACTTGATCTTCAGTTTTATTCATATTAAATATGGCTATTGAAACTTGGATTGTGACCCAGTGTTTGGGTGTATTATTTTACACTATGACTTGCTCACAGGCATATGACAATATTGTATACTCAGTAGAACTCAACACATACTGAGCTGAATGGCTCACAAGCTTTCTTATTACCATCTTATTAAGACCAGTTAATAAGAATGTTGAAGATTAGTAAGATGTGGATGACACACTATTTCTTGAGGAAAAATAGATAAATCATGCAGCCCCCCATATTCTGACAAATGTTAATGCTAACCCTTCATATGATGGGAATTATCCCAATGCTTTTCTCCTTGGGTTTCTACCAGTTTGTCTCCATTAGTCATGGTTTCTGTCCCTAGAGTCACAAAAATAGAAGACAGTATGTTAAGTCTATGACAATAATTTACCAAGTTCTCAGACACACAAGAAATAGTTTTCTTTTTTCAGCCTTCCCCACCCAAAACAATTCATGATTGTTCCTGAAACTGCATGAGAGAATATGGCAACCAACACCACTCCCTAGAGAGCCAACATTGCTGTGGGATGTTCTGTATGTCCTGTGGGAGCCTGTTCTCGGGTTGTGGCTTTACCCAGCAGGTCCGCATAGAGGATGATTAGGACCACGGGCCTGAGTGCAGGTGTCTGATATAATCTGCACTTGGCTGTGCTGTGGGATGGTCTGTATGTCAAGTTGCTCTGATTGGTCAATAAATAAAACAATGATTGGCCCGTGGCTAGGCAGGAAGTATAGGCGGGACTAACAGAGAGGAGAAATGAACAGGAAGGCAGAAGGAGTCATTGCCAGCTGCCACCCTGACAAGCAGCATGAAAAGATGCCGGTAAGCCATGAGCCACGTGGCAAGGTATAGATTTGTAGAAATGGATTAATTTAAGCTATAAGAACAGTTAACAAGAAGCCTGCCATGGCCATACAGTTTGTAAGCAATATAAGTCTCTGTGTTTACTTGGTTGGGTCTGAGTGGCTGTGAGACTGGCGGGTGAGAGAGATTTGTCCTGACTGTGGGCCAGGCAGGAAAACTCTAGCTACACA